TTTATCTGATTGTGCAAGCTCCGTTCATATGAGCTGTCTGGGGAGAGACTGGCAGAGAAAAGAGAAGACCGATTTTTCAGAGGTGTATATGGAGGTTTATATGAGCCGTTCTCTAGTTCTCGCACAGTAAAAGCAATTCCATTATCTCAAATTTACTTGACAGAAAACCTCATATCTCTCAGCATGCATTGTTATTGGAGGATAAGTGTTTTAGCTCGCATTATTTGCCTGTTGGTTGGTGATGGATGCTGTGCTTGGTGGACAGTGGCACAAAGATGTAATTCAGTCATTTGGTGAATGGAAAGTGTTTTAGCAGATAAAGTATAAAGAGTGGACAGCTGAAAGACACTAATTAGAATATTGTAGTGCGTAATGGTGTCTGGGTTTGGTTGGGAAATGTTATTGCACTGAAGTGTGTGTGTGTGTGTGTGTGTGTGTGTGTGTGTGTGTATTACAGTATAAGAAAAAATAAATGCTGTTCGTTTCAATTTTCTATTTATCAAAGAATCCTGAAAAAAATGTTTCCACAAAAATATAAAGTAGCACAACTGTTTTCACTGTTTTCGTATGACACTGAAGACTGGAGTAATGGCTGCTGAAAATTCAGGTTTGTCACATGAGTAAATTACATTGTAAAATGTGTTAAAATAGAAAACAGTTATTTAAAATTAATAATATTTCACAATATTACCGTTTGTGTATTTTTTATTAAATTAATGCAGCCTTGGTGAACATTGATAAAAACATTAAAAATATTACCAACCTGTGATGGTGCCCTAGTAAAAAAGTGATATATTTAAAATGCATTGTATTTTTTATTAAATTAATGCAGCCTTGGTGAACATTGATAAAAACATTAAAAATATTACCAACCTGTGATGGTGCCCTAGTAAAAAAGTTATATATTTAAAATGCATTTGTTTCATACTAAGTGTAGTTCAAATCTATTAACATATTTACTGACATATCGCTCTAGACTTACTAATATAAAAATTATAATTCAACTTTACTGTATTTGGAGTACTACTTGTACACAATGCTCATTTCTTAATATTAAGCCTAAAATGTATTTTAATGTCACTATTGATGAGAATTATATGATTTTTTAATAATATTTGTCTTTAAATGTGAGAAATTTAAAGTGTGCCTTAAGTATACTTGCAATAGTTCCACTTTAGCACAATCAAATATACTTCAGTATTTCTTCAGTGCGTTCAATTAAAGTGCATTAAGTACAAAATAAGTTGTTCCAACTTGGCAGACTTTAAGTATATTAGTTTAGTATACAAAAAGTGCAATTGCAGGGTATTTTTATTAAGTCCATAAATATGTAAATGTATTTATGGTATACTTTGCATGAAATAAATGTATTTCAAATACATTTTAGCATATTTATATTTTACTAGGGTGATATTGGTGTTATACAGTAGTTCTATTGGTATAAGTTAAAATTACTTGCATAATTTACATGTTAGACAAATTTAATAGGTTCAGGTTTTTCTTTATACAATGTTGTCCTAAAATTTAATTGCTGAGCATTCCAGTTGAAATGCAATCCAACAGCACAAAAATATTTCATTGTTTCATGCAGAAACTACATGTTGCTATTACAATATGTGTTCTAAAATTGGCTCAAAATATCAAGCATGTTTCATATCCTCAGACTGAATGGATATCAAACCGTTGGATATGCCACTGTTCATTCCGACAATAGAAAAGCGGCAATAGTCTGAAGCTAAAAAAATCAGAGTCTGTGACAATCGTACACTACGTGATTTTCTATTAAATCTGTCAACTCAAATCTGCAGACTGACTTTGACTTTTGGTGCGTCAACTCCTCCAGACTCTAAATTGGTGCAAAAATCTGTGTAATGTGAAATAATGTTCTTTTTAGCAGCATCATATGACCCCTTTAACAGTTGTTGCATATTTACATTAGACAAATAAGATTATTACCAAAACAAAAAACTTATGGTTTCTCCAACATTATAATTGTGATATGGTTCAAGAGGGAGGAAGGAAGAAGACAGCGTCGGCGGACTGGGACGCGAGTGTTTATTCAAGTCTCTCAGTAAATACAACAGAACAAGGCGCTCACTGCGCATTCAAACTCTCCGTCAATAACTCAGAATATAGCTCTATATATGCTTTGCTCCAGTAGCCCGGTTTCCCCGGGTGGCTCGCTTTCCCAGTCAGTCTCTC